AATTTAAAAAATAGTTAAAAATAATATATATTACTCGTGTTTTTTATGAAATGTGATTATTGATGACGCGGCTCAAATTTTATTAATAAATTTGACCAAATAGAATTTATAGCTATCATTATTTTAAGTCGCATTAATATTTATGCTTTTTAGGATGTATTGACCAATCATCATGAATAGATGATACTGTCCTCTAACTAAAAAGAATCCAAATACGTTTGGTACTTATTGAATATTTAGTCCACACCAACCCTATCAACTCATAATAATGGCTAACAGTGTGTTTTCATACTCATCGGTTGGTGAGGAAATTGCATGACCCCACGAGAGAGTAAATTATATTTCATGTTATTTACATATTTAATATTTAAAATACTAATATTATATTCATATCACTTATATAAAATTTTAATATCAAATATATCACTTTTATATTTTATTATAACCATTTTTTTTATATATTTCATTCTTAACATATGTAAATAGCCGGTTGTTGTCGGCAATAGCCGGTTGTTGTCGGCAACGACGTTGACAGGAGAATGCGATAGAGCTCCCTACTCTCTCATTTTTTCCCTTTCTTCTTCTTCCTAAGCCACCCCCACTCTCCTCCCCCCCGCGCGCGTCCCCCTTTTGAAGAATGAGGGGCTATTTATAATCTTTTGGGAGTGGCATGGCTTGTGTATATGTGGGAAATCAAGGATATTTTGGAAGTATTAGGATGGATTGTCGATATTGATTCCTTTGATCATTGATCAAGCCTTTGAGTGCCTTAATGATGCCAAAATTTGGTGATCTTGAGCTTATGGGATTCGTCTCGTCGTTATGTTCGATTCGACTATAAGCATGTCATATTCAAACTTCATTTAGTCATGAAATTAATTCTTTGAAGCTTTCTAAGTACATTTTGATCCTTTGATTTGGACCCATTTGGGTTTGAGTTGGACCAATTTTAGTGTCGTTGGGTTCGTTTCGTCGAACCTCTCTATTCAACTATAAGTTTGTTGATATCAGAGCTTAGATGATAATAAATTGAATTTGAAGGTTTCTGACTTAAAAATGCCTTAAGATTTGTGCTAGATCAAGGTAATTTTAAATGATATATCAATCCTTTTAACAACCATAGTATTTTTTACATTTATCATTGTCTTTATTGACTCATGCCCCAACATCCCCTTTTCTCATTCCTTTTTGACCTTTCATAAAGCTCGCTATTGTCATTGCATGCCTCAATCCCGCCTCTTATTTTATTATCTACAAATTAGAAGGGGGAGAAGAAAATTCCTCGCTCTTATAAAGTACATCTTTTTTTTTTGTTTATAAAAATTTATTTGTGAAATATTAAAAAACTTTCTAATACAATTATTTTGAATAAGTATAAAGTACACACAATGTTGGAGTTCATTTCTATGTAACTTTTGTTTTGTGTATTGATGTGAAATAAAATAGAACAATTGCTTTCCAAGACAAATGGAAGTGTTCTATCTAAATTTACAACATCATTTGGAACTATCTCTTTGGGCTTAAGTTATATTCATATAGAACCCTTCCTATTGATTAGCACTATATAATAATTTTCTATTTTGTGCTTATTAAAAGCTTCTAATTCTAGTTAAATGTCAATTCTTATGTGTTAGTATTTATAAATAAATTATTTTTACATGAGTAATTAATAAGCCAATTGTGATTGAACAAATCAAAATAGATTTGAGAATACATCAAGAGAGTTGAAAAGTTCTTGAATTTATGCATGCCAAAGCTTGAATTTATCAAAAAAAATTTATTTACATGTAAATTATGCATTAATAGATATATTTATTTCATGAAAGATGTTTGGTGTCATCTAATCTTTAATAGATTTTTTCTTTGATATATTATTTGAAATTGGCATGGTATATAAAATTAAAATTTTTTAAGTTTAGGTACCTAACTTTATTTATTGATGTTTTATCAATTATTATCCAAAGGCATGATCAATCATCGTATAAATGATCAGGGCTTGTGATGTTAGATCTACTTGAAATTTAGTATTGCTTGGTTTAATATTCGCTTAGTTTGCAAGAAAATTCTTCAAATAATTTGTTTATAGTCATGCTGGGAGTATTGGAATGATTAAGGCTTCGTTTGGAATGACTTTGTTATTACTTTTTAAAATAATTTTTTAGAATAAAAATTTTTAAACCATAAATTTTTATACTTAAAAATAATAAAAAAAATTATCCCAAACGAAACCTTAGATCTGCTATGCTAACTTATATAAGTTATTCATTTTGGCATATGATTAATTTGTTAAGAACCATATGAAACCCATCAATTATTGAAGTATCCCCAAAAAAAAATTAAAGTTATTGAATTAACACTACAAAGTTCAAATATTCCATTGCATAAGCATTATAAATAACATTGCTAGTATATGACATCTTACAGTAATCCTGCATAAATATGATGGAATTATTATCTAGAATTCTAACATATTGTAGAATTCAAGTTTATCAAAATGTATATTGCAGAATTGTAACAATTATGTCAACTAAAATATTCACATATATTGCAAAATTGCAGCGGTCATATCTGTAATAATTATCACTTCTTTCAAGATTGTTGCGAATATGATCACTGCAATTATGTTTTCATTCTGTGTTGGATAGATTTTTTCTCAAATTCGTATTAATAATTCACTTTGGCTCCAATTGACATATAAATTGAAATTTTTATACTAAAAATCTGCTTTAGAAAGAAGTACGAAAACCGTCCCAAATGAAGCCGGAGATTTCTCTATGAATCCTCTCCCAAAACTTAAATTCAGATCATTCGAATATTATTTTTAATGAAAATTCTCCCAAAATAATAAAAAATTAAAGAAGTTGGACGATTTATTTGGAGGATTATTTAAACGATCTAAGTCAAATGATAAATTATTATTTTTCTCTCTTAGCATTACAAAGTCAATGCGTTTGAGGAATTGACCGATTTATTGGAGAAATAGAGAAATAAAAATGCAGCATAATTAATCGGACTCGTATTATATTCTTCGTTCACAGCAAATCCATCCAGATGGCATGAATATAAACGTGCCACGTACCACATTAAACAGAGATATGTGATTAAGTCGGTGTTGAGGGACCGCTGTTAAGTTAGCTGACCACCTAACTCTCTTCATTAAGGCCACTAATAGGGTATTAATAAAAATATATAAAAATTGTGGGCCAGAGAGCTTTCTCGTTACTTTATTTTTCAAATAACAACCATAATTTTATTTAGGAACTATTTTTTCGTGAGCACAAAATTATTTTCTCTACAACAACTTTACACGAACTTTATAAAAAACTGTAGCTGTCTCAAACTGTTCCTAAATTAAGGCTTAGTTTGGGACGACTTTTTGCCGTCCTAAACGAAATCTAAATAATAAGAATATGAAAGATATCATAAAGCTTTAATAAATACATCTTATATGTGGGTAGAAGATTTTATATTTTATTAAGAAATTGTATATTCAATAAAAAATTATTTTGAGCATTTATAATTTAGACTTTATATTGTTATTATTTTCATTTTATTTTTAAAAATAGTAAACACCTCCGACCACAACTGCTACACTGTGGTCCCTCCTACAACAATCACCTAACTACGGTCCTTCTAACCATCATCGTCCTACTACGATCACTTTGATCTCAAACTCTCCTCCAGACTATACATCATAGTCGTTTGACTACAGTCATCTGGCCACCGTTGCCCTGACTATGATCTATCTTACCTTCATTACTCCTTGACTATGGTCCTTAGATTATCGTCATGTAACTACGTACGGTCCTCATACTACACAATCACCCAACTATGGTTCTTCCAGCCTGGCACCTGCCGACTACAATCCTCATACCATAGTCGCTTGATCACGGACCCTTTGACATTAATTGCTTGACTACGATCCCTCTGACCACATTCACCCAATGATGATCCCTTTGACCACTGTTGCCCTAACTATGGTCCTTTTTTGCCTTCATTACTCCTCGACAACGGTCCTCAGACTACAGTCATGGAATTATGGTCTCATACTACCATCACTCGACTACAGTTCTTCCGACCTATCGCCCGCCGACTACAGTCTTGAGACCATATAGTTGCTCAACCACAGTCCCTTCAACATCAATTACTATGATCCCTCTGGCCACCTTAGCCCAATGACGATCCCTCCAACCACCATCGCCCAACTACGATCCCTCCGTCCATCATTGGCCGGCTACAGTCCCTACAACCATCATTGCCTGAGTTCAATCCCTCCGACCACCATCCTCGACTACGATCCTACCAAACAAACAGACCAACAATATATTAAGAATAACCCTCATGCCATTGGATTCTTCTAAGTCCAATCATGTAACATGCTCTATATGATATATTTTTCGAGGGAGGACTTCATTTGCAATCAATGAAAAATACTTGTCCAATCATTTCAACCGAACAAAGCCTCTTGATTTTTCCCTTTTTCAGAATTTTAACATAAAATTTTGAATTCCTTTTATGATTATTATACCCATCTCTCTTATTTGTGCAATGTTGAGATTTTTCGATCACACAACAATGTTTATATGGAATTTTCATTCAACATTAAATGAAAAACTCTCTATTGTTATAAATATTCAATCAATTTAAAACTATCTTTATAAAAATTAAAAAAAAAATATTTAAAGAAAATAATTAGTTACCTGAACAAATATTTATGCATCAGCATATTCTAATCGAATATTTAGGCAGTTAAATCCCCCTTATGATTTTTGTCAATTACCACAACAAGTCGACAACCCAGCCAATTATTTCCCGGCTGCCGAAGGCACGCAATAGCTAATATTTCTTATATTTTGATATTTTCCCCTCCTGTTAATCAATCTTCACGGCGGCTCAGTCCAGCATCATGTCTCACCAACCCTCCTGCCACGTGGTCCAGATCGATCCGTCCATCCTCCCACCTACAATCAACCTCTTATCTATATATACTCTTCAATATCCCAAAAACTGCTAAAATCACAATCACCCTTTATACAATTACTAAATACCAAAATCCATGGCTGGAGAGGTGTCGGAAGTCCGGTCTGCGCCGCTCTCACCGGTGATATCGGCGCCCCCGTCCCTGATACAGTCACCGATGGTGGGGCGGTCGCCGGCGAGAGTGACACCGAGAGCGAGCCCGATCCGGAAAGCAGTGGCGAGCATGAAAGGGTATTTGGAGGAAGTTGGGCACATCACGAAGCTGGACCCGCAGGACGCTTGGCTTCCGATCACCGAGTCCAGGAACGGCAACGCCTACTACGCCGCTTTTCACAATCTCTGCTCCGGAATCGGATTTCAAGCTCTGGTTCTTCCTGTGGCCTTCATCTTCCTCGGCTGGTAATTCTTTTATCTACCCATTAACTCTCTAATTCATGCTAATTATAACTTAATTACACTGTGATAGGTATTAATAATGTAAATTACTTAATTAATCTTATAGTTCTAAACAAAATTATATTAATTATCGTTGTCACATCGGTTGTTTGCATATATTAAATTTATAAAATTAGTATTAAAATCCTTGACTATCGCATGTAATTATGCATCCGCTCCGACGACCGAAGCCTCACCTACTCGATAGAGATCGAGAGAGATCGAGAGGGGGTTTAATTAGAGGTGTTAATGAGCACAATCTGAGCTCAATTTTGACTAATTAGTCAAATTTAAGCTTGTAATTAAGCCTAATCTTATATATTAGAACCGGCTAATGTGCCAGCTCATTTATTATTAAAAAATTTAAAAGATTGTTACAAGAAAATGATAGAAAATTTAAGAAACTAGAGGAAAAAATAATTAAAAAATTAGTTTAGATAAAAAAGATTTATTAATTCTATTTAATTTTTTTTTATAATTTTGTACTTTAACCTTTCAATTATATTATATTCTAAATACTGTTTAAGTGAGTTAGGTAAGGAGATGATGAGTAGAGTTGGAATTAATTCAAATTTAATTTTGCATATTATCTTATCCAAAAATAAAAAGTTAATGCATCCCTAAATAAGATGCTAATAAGTCAACTTCATTAAAGCTTCGTTTAGAGCATCTATCTATTATTTTTTAAAATAATTTTTTAGTACTACAAAAATTTAAAAAAAAATCATATAATAGAAAGCTATTTTATAAAATAATAAAAAGTTATCCCACATGAAGCTTAAATTGCAAAAAAAAAAAAAAAAAAATTCTGTGCGGACGCCGGGCACAGCTCTAAGTCGAATCAGATGCAGTCACGTCAGCGGTACCAAGCCGCGATATCGAGCGGTACTGAGCCGCGGTAACGAGGGAAGGGGTGACGTGACGCATTTTGGTTGATTTCCAGACAATGTTCAGCATCCGCACATAATATTTTTTCCCTAAATTGCACCCTTATAAAGTTTAATTTTAAAATAAGATATTTTATTTCAAAACATAAAATTTATTATTTTGAAAAAAAGATATTTTTACTCAAAACTAATACTTAACTATTATGAGTGAAATACCTTAATCATTTTTTTTTATTCTTGAAATTGATTAATTAAAGAATATGGTGTGAATTATAATTTATATGCTCTTTTAAAATAAATTTTAAATGAAAATTATGATTGCTAAATCAATTTAAATATGAGTTTAATTAAAGATTAACATATTATTAAAGGGCTCTTTTTATTTATCAATAATCTCACATTCATATTTGAAAAAAAAATTGTTTGAGGACATGAATTTGATCATGATAAAATTTAAATTATTTTAATGAATTATAATGCAAAATTAATTCCTTTATTCCTAAAATACAACATTCTCAAAATAAATTCATTTTTTTTAAAAAAAAAATCAAGATATAATTTATATATATTCATATTGATTTCACTATTTCAAGAAATTATTACGTGCTATCTCTAGATCATTTAGATACGAATTAGGATGTGCCAATGGCATACTAATCCGCCTCTAGATGATGTCAGATAATCATAATAATTTCATCACTATTCTTGATAACAACTTTCAGCATATAAATATATTTAGGTGGATTTTAATGTCGCCTTGTTTTTTGTTCGTTCGTCAAAGTTGAAAGAGACTTGAAGCAACTATTTTCCTAAAAGAGGTTAAAGCTGAGAGGACCACAAGAATTTATAGCTACCATTGATATTTTTAGTTTTCTTGAAAGAAATTGTATACAAGCTATGATGCTTGTCGCACATGTCAGATATATTCCATCGTCAGAATATCTAATTTAATAATAATAAATAAATAAATAATATTCTATCGTGTGTTAAATAAGTAATGATGACTAATATAAAAATCCATCAAATAGTCCAAAACTAATTAAAAGCCTTTTTTTTTAAGATAATCGAAATATATTTTTAATTATTTTGCAAAAAATAAATTTTGTAAGCATACTAATACTTGATTGATTTATAAGCTAATAATTACACTCAGTGAATAACTCCATGCTTGTTCATAATTTTTTTTATATAATTAAATAAACTTGAATAAACTTTTTTAAGCTCGTCATATGTACTTGGGCCTCTTGTGTATTAGAGAATTCTAAGGGAAGGGATGTTTATCATCTTAGAATATTCAGGCGGGGCTCATCTTTGTTGTTTGAAGTCAAGCATCAATTATGGTTGATAACAGGAGAGATTATAACATGCGGAGTCTGGATATAAAGAACCGTTCGATTTTGTGACTGTCAATGGTGTAAGCAAAGTAAAAGCGGAGTGATGAATAGTAACTAAGATTTTACTGTTCATAGTGACAAAAATCAAATGGCCCTCTGTGTCCGGACTCCGTACGTAATAATCTCTCTGATAGCAAGTGTTGCAACAGGCATTGATGGCAGACTTGGATAACAAGTGTCCATACTGTTGAAGGTGGGATGACAGTGGGCAATGATCGGCATCAAATGCCTACAAACAAAGCTTTAATTTGGAATTCTATGAATCACAAAATTCTCTCCTATGCTGACAAACCTATATTATTTACAATTAACTTTTATAATTCATGAACTAAATTGAAAGAAATATGATATTCTGTCATAGAAATTCATCCTTCTTTTATTTCTGATAAAACTTTCTGCTCCTCTCATTTGAAGTTGTAATTTCACCAGTTATTATTATGATGCAGTCTTACATGCCAACTTAATTCACTAAGAATACTAAAATGCAGGACATGGGGGATCATATGTTTATCCTCTGCATTCATCTGGCAACTCTACACTCTCTGGCTACTAATTCAACTTCACGAATCAGTTCCCGGAATTCGTTACTGCAGATACCTTCAGCTAGCAAATGATGCATTTGGTAATCAAGCTTCCATCAACCTCTCACTCAGGCTCCGTTTGGGACTCTTTTTTAACCGCTTCTTAAAGCTGCTTTCTAATCCAATTTTTTTACTAAAAAACTGTTTTAAGAAACAGTAAGAAAGCCGTCCTAAACGAAGCCTCAATCTCCATGACTAAACATGGGCGGACCAACCTTAAGACCAGGGGGGCAATTGCCCTACCTTGAAAAAAAAAATTATTATATGATTCTTTTGATAATTTATTCCCTTCCATGTAATGTTTAATCTTTATTACAAGAGTTCTTAGATAATTGACCCCCCTAAAAGTTTTAAAATACTATGATTTTTAGGCAATTGTCCCAACATAATTAAACATATTGTGTAGAGATGTTATTGTTACGGAATGAAGAACCAAATACAAAGAGAAATAATAAAGATAATCCAAAAATATCCTTATAACCAAAATTTGTTATCAGCCCCCACATTTGATCTTGTGACATATCTATGAAACATACAATGATGAACAAATATGGGTCAAGAGGCAGCGTCTTCGGAACAAACTTTGATTGTAAGGATATTTATGAAAAAAAAAAAAAACTCTACACTTTTACTTACAAGTTTGCCCTCCTGAAAATTAAGATTGGATTCGCCCCTCTGACTAAACATGCTTGATCAGCAGTTAACATACTGAAACAATTGCAGGAAAAAGGCTAGGAACGCTGTTAGCTTATCTTCCCATAATGTACCTCTCGGCCGGCATTTCCTCTGCCATAATCGGCGTTGGCGGTGGGAGTATGAAGCTTTTCTTCAACATCGTTAGCGGCTCGACGGACCAGTCGAATCCCCTAAGTACTGTGGAATGGTACCTGGTCTTCACCTGCTTGGCTGTGATACTGTCGCAGCTTCCCAACCTTAACTCCATTGCTGGTGTATCGCTTGTTGGAGCCGTTACTGCTGTTTCTTACTGTACCATTATTTGGGTTGTGTCGGTTGGTCGGGGAAGGCTGGCCGGGATTTCTTATGCTCATGTGCGTGAGGGCTCCATCATGGATAGAACGCTTGATGTTATCAATGCTCTCGGCCTCATCGCCTTTGCCTTCAGAGGTCATAATCTCGTGTTAGAAATACAGGTAAGATTTCTCTTCTTTGAATAATAAAAAAGGTATTTCTAATACAGATTTTCTATCGTAATAATCGTATTTCCTTTGCTGTGACGTGTGAGATTAAACCAAAGACCGCTCATTCTAAGTTCTAACTAAGTAGATGTAACCCAACATCCGAAATTCAACCCTGCCCGCCACGTGACATCCCCCTAGTCAATTTGTTTGACAAAAATACAGTATTTAAGTCAATTAAAATACGTTAGATAATTAAAGCTTTTTTGTTTTGGGTGGTTGAAATATTTTGTTAACGCTGCTCACCAATCAAAGAAGTATTGGGTTTGAGTCTTACGTATGTGATGTGTGTGAATTGGTCAATTAAGACAACTCATAAATACTTGAACTCAAAACCTCTTGATTAATAATCAAAGCTCCCAACCAACATATCAAAATGAGCTGTCTAATTGACTAAATAATTAAAAAAAATGTGTAGAGCTGAACTGCTTGAGGAGAGGGCAATCAGTGTTTAGTAATTCAACTAAAAGTTTAAAATTTCATTTTTGCAACCTCTATCATAGTCATGTTTAGAGCAACTTAAGTTGGATATCATGAGTTCAGACACATAAAATTTAAATCAGTACACTCAAAAGAGCTGTGAAGTTAAATATTCATTAGCTCATCGTGATCTGTTGGTTAAAAACTTTAACTACCAACAAAGAAGCGAAAAAAATCGCGCAAAAGCTTGTAGACGAAGGCATTTGGTCTAGGCGATGGTGGCAATGAGCCCGCCAATGTATGGGGCGAGATGTAATGAGTGTTCGGGGATACATGGTAGTTTTTAAAAAGAGTAATAGATAGTGTAAATAACAAAAATTAAATGTAAATATAGACGTAAATAATAGTATTTTAAGTGTCGCACCTCATCTTGATCTGTTGGTTGGAAGTTTTCCCTATCAATCAAGAGGTTTTAGGTTTGAATCTTATGTATGTAATGTGCGTATAAGAGTGATGAGGCGGCTGGGCAAAGCCTAGGTCCCTGGTTCAAATCCCTTGGCAAGCAGTGAAAGCCTTAAGTGTTGGCCCATGTAAGTTAGTGTGGGTTGCATGCTAGGTCGACCGGGGTAGGGTTTTCACTGGCCTAAGGACAGTGCTTTCTTGTCACAAAAAAAAAAGTGTGTATAAGCTTATCTTAATTGGCCTAAATGTATATATATATTAAGGGCAATATATGTAAATCCCCCCTGAAATATATTTATTTATATATAATCTGTTTGCAATCAAATTGATTAGTGCAAGCTCAGAACCAGAACCTGAATCATAGATTGTTCCCTGAAGTTTTAGTCTGCCTTGACCGCAGGCGACCATGCCATCCACTCTGAAGCACCCTTCACGCATTCCTATGTGGCGGGGAGTGAAGGCTGCCTATCTCCTCGTCGCATGCTGCATGTATCCCATGGCAATCGGCGGCTTCTGGTCATATGGCAACCAGGCAAGTAAAAGTAAACAAAAAATCCCTTCAATTCCAATAATACTAAGATCAATTTCTTACATGAACTCTGATGACTCACGTACAGATACCATCAAGCGGGATCCTACAAGCCCTCTACCAATTCCACAGCCGCGACACTTCTAAGGTGGTGCTCGGCCTGACCGCCCTACTCGTCGTCATCAACTGCCTCAGCTCCTTCCAGATCTACGCAATGCCGGTGTTCGACAACATGGAGGCAGGATACACGAGCAAGAAGAACAAGCGCTGTCCGCGATGGCTACGATCCGGCTTCCGAACGATGTTCGGAGCTATAGGGTTTCTGATTTCCGTGGCGTTTCCATTCCTGTCGGATCTGGCTGGGCTCATGGGAGGGATCTCGTTGCCGATCACTTTGGCTTACCCGTGTTTCATGTGGATTATTGTCAGGAAACCGAACAGGTATAGTGCGAATTGGTATATTAATTGGGCATTAGGAGTTTTGGGAATGGGGCTAAGTGTTGTGCTGGTTGTTGGAGGATTGTGGAGGCTGATTGATTCGGGAATCAAGTTTCGCTTCTTCAAGCCTCAGTGATTGTGTGTCGGAAAGATTGTACTGTTTAGAGATGAACAATTTTTTATTTTTTTTTTATATATGGGTGCTGATAAGTTCAAAACTTATAAATTGATTGTATGCATGTAAAGATATATGAAGATGTAGTTTAGTGGTTCATCGTCATACTGTTGAAAGTGGATTTTGGATTTAACATGTTTTTTAATTAAAATCCCACGAAAGAAGCCTGTGTTAAAATAGATAAAAATTACACGTCCTTAAAGACTCCAAAGCTCGCTAAAATACAACAATTGAAATAAAACCTAAGAGCCTCGGAATCCATCTAAATACAAAACCAAGAGAAAGCATAAAGAAGATCAGCCTAATCACAAATAAATAGTAAAGGAGTTAGAGCAAAACACCAAAAGCCCAGCAATCAACTGTCTACATCCAGAGCAAAAGTGCCATCCAAATTTGAAATCCATAGGTCCACCAACTAGCACCACAACACCAACCTGCACAAACAAAAGAAAAGAGACTACACCAAAAGGAAAGATGAGACCTCCAACAATCAAATAATGACCCACACAACGCCAACATGCCACAGCTCCAAAGCAGCAGCCACCAAGCCAACCACAAAAAATAGCTATTTTTTTTTATTTCTTTTTTCTTCGTTTACCCACCCGAATGATAGTATCACGCATAACACGGCTTACATTCAAATCAAATAAGCCCTCATGTTCAAACACTTCCTTTTCATCAACCTCAAAAGGAGAAGATGAAGAGCCTTCAAGCCAATCAATTTGCACCTCAATAGTTTCCCTCGATCTGACGCCCACATGGGCATTCAAAGCATTAGCATAAAGTAAAATTGGAACATCAACAAGTTGTTCATTCACTCCCAATTCCACAAAGGAGACTAACACAAGCAGATCAGCAGACGTCACATGAGAAGCAACAGAGAAATCCAACTCACTAGAATCAATGTTCACCACCCCCATATTAACATCACAAAGTTCATTATCACCCACATTCAACAACTCATTAGCAGCAACATGACCAACAATGTCAGAACGACCAATCTCAATCCCACCCCAAGGGGTCACCACCAAGACATGATCACCCACATCACCATCATCACAACACACAACCCCACAATGCTCTGTTGAAGGAGCACCAACAACAGGAATCATCGAATCAAACTCAACCGCCCTCCCCAAGGAAACAACTGACTCAAGCAGAGGCAAAACAATACTAGGGCAATTATTTACCACACTAATAGGATCATCTATACT